TCCATCACATGGAGCATATCACTATCCTCCATTATATTGGAGGATATCACTCTACGAGACACTGTCTCGTAGATCTGGCGCATCAACTTCAAGATCTGAGTTTACCAAGAAGTTTGAGGAGATGCTCACCGATAAGAAAGCGACCTTTGGTGATATATTGGCTTAGCGTGATTATATGGAGGATATCACTACGATCCTCCATCACATGGAGGATATCACTATCCTCCATTATATGGAGGATATCACTCTACGAGACACTGTCTCGTAGATCTGGCGCATCAACTTCAAGTGAGCCAGAGGTTATTACGACGAGGATTGTGAATACTGTTTCTGAGTTGCCGCTACCTAATGGTGAAGCTTATAATGGTTTTCAAGATAAGAGGCGTATCAGTTGGTTTGTCAAGGAGATTCAGAATACTAGTAAGCTTTTGCAGTTATCACGTGAGGAGATGCTCACCGATAAGAAAGCGACCTTTGGTGATATATTGGCTTAGCGTGATTATATGGAGGATATCACTACGATCTTCCATCACATGGAGGATATCACTATCCTTCATTATATGGATGATATCACTCTACGAGACACTGTCTCGTAGATCTGGCGCATCAACTTCAAGTGAGCCAGAGGTTATTACGACGAGGATTGTGAATACTGTTTCTGAGTTGCCGCTACCTAATGGTGAAGCTTATAATGGTTTTCAAGATAAGAGGCGTATCAGTTGGTTTGTCAAGGAGATTCAGAATACTAGTAAGCTTTTGCAGTTATCACGTCGTGCTGAATGGCTATTTCTTACTAGTGCTTGTAAGCCGTTGGTGAGATCTGCTATGCTTGATCAAGTTGAGCGTGTGGTGATGATGTTTGGATGCATGATTATGATCAGATGTTGGGTACTGCTGAAGACTACCTAACGACCAAGTATCGTCGCTCATACGACCCTAGTCGTTATGAGTCTCGTATTATCAATGTCCGTTGTTACATTTTGTGACTATTATTCTGATCTGGTGCTTGGTAGAGCTACTACATATTGTCCTACTCATAAGGATGTGAAGCTTTTACTCAATTTCGTGTATCCCAATTGGGGATGTGTACCATCTATTGTGATATCTGATAATGGAAGTCAGTTCCAAGATGGTCGTAGAGACTTCCCTTATATTTGGCGTTTGACACCGGTTAGGGGTAGCCCGTCAAATGGCCTTACGGAACGACAACATCGTACTATTAATGCTAAGTTGCGACGCTTCAGACTGCTAGGATCATACTTCGAGAAACTCGTTTTTCGGCGGGGGGGGGGGGGGGGAAATCAAGCCCGGTGGATATCATTCCTTGATAACCTCACATACTGTAGTGAATTGAAATAATCACCACAACACAGCTCACACAGAGTCATTGAAGACACTTAGTCTTCACTGTGGTCTTTAAGTACAGTACCACAGCGAGATACCTTTAGTAGACAGCGCAATTGTGCGCCTTTCATGCTTAACGTCGAGCGTAGCTAAGAACGTGTCTCGCACTGTGCTCCTCTAGGATAAGAGCAGGTTTCGTCTTAGTCTTGGGAACCTGTGTTCATCAGCAGCCCGAGGGTGACGCTCACTACTAAACCGATCCTTAATAGGTCTTATAATTATGAGTATGATAACTAAAAGTAGTGCCAGCTTACGCTGAGATACTAGCTACATAAATACACAAAAGGAGACATTAACACAATCTCATCATAGTATAAAATAGGCCTTAGGCCTGAGGCCTTAATCTTAAAATCTTAACATCATACCTTGTATAGAAATTGCCGATCTTCGGCAATCGAAGCATGGTCTAAGCTGCAGTGATCTAGGTTAGAGATCGGATATACAACACGAAACAGATGGACATTCTTTCACCGAGACACTACACGCCCGACTGGCGTCGCCATAGGAGGCGTCAGTATGTCGAGGCGTGACTATTCGAGACGAAGCGAAAAAGGTGTATTTCGGGGTTGTGTCGGGAAAGTACAGGGGCTCCAACGTGCATGAATTCGAATGCAGCGAATGAACAGATAATGCGGTCATTGTCACGCGTGCGATGCTGAATCTGGTCGCGTGGCAACTGGGCATGGGCTGATTGTTAGCTGTTCATCGTCCCAGTTCTTAGCGCCTCTTATTGTCATTCCCATCTCGCTACTGCATCCAAATACTCATAGTAAGGTCCCTCTCGCTTGTGTTGGCTGATATGTGCATTGAAACCACCAATTAGCTCATATCTGTTCCGAACCCTACAACAGACAGACATTGTGCGCCGCAAAGTAATACCGCTCGCACGCTTGCAGCAGGTCTACTTGAAGCCTATGATATGTTCGTATTACCGTATCTAGGTGACGACACAACCGCCGTGAGAAGGTTAGCGACAAACTCATAGTTCTTACGACTATCGTAATCGTTAATTCTGTGAGTGTTGCTAAAGTGGCATACATTTGCAGGATGTAGTTGTTTGTAGGCGCTTGTGCGATCGTTACTGTTACCACGCGGGTCACGTTCCGGATTGAGTCGCCTCCAGCCAGGCTCGAATAATACCGGCATCTTGTGATCTGCAATCGCGCGGGTACGGTTATTTTCAGGAATATCCCTTCCTAGCATCATGGTGTTCGCACGTTCGGCATTACTATCGACGGTCCTATTATATGTGATAGCCTCCCAACGCACCCTGTTGAGACTATCCCATCGCGGAAACTCACTCGATGTTCGTCTTCTACCGGATATGGTTGCGCAGGCATTGACCGCATCTGATGGAAGGAAACGTTTCCTCAGCCAAGACGACCTCGAGTGTGAACGATGCTTCACGCAGGATGGTATGGTCTATGACTTGAAGGCAATAGGGGTCCAGATTGTAGAGTCGACATGCTCAGTTGGTCACAACAGTATTCTGAACTACTTGAAAAAGGCCGCAGATGTGCTGGGCATCGAATTCGATTGCGAGCCCGATGTGAAGATCATCCTGGATCCTATGCCCAGTATGGTTCAAGCCTCAGCTACTTGTACTGGTGGCAATCCTGTTCTCGGCACCAACGACCCCGGCTCTTC